AATATTGGGGCTCTATTTGGAAAGGGTCAAAACCAGACAGGGAGGAGGTAATTCAAAGCATATGCAAATATATGGTTAGCTGGAGCTGGGCAAACAGAAATATAAAAGGTAGCACTAAGTTACACGAGCTGGGTCTTATACCTCAGAATATTACAAGACGAAAGCCTCGGATTTATCATTGGAAGAGACCAGCGGCTTCTCAGGTGAAGATCAATTGGGCGATTTTCAGGCAGAACGGGAAATCGGCGGCAGGCTTTCTTCTCCGAGACCACTCCGGCAAGATGGTGGCTGCGAATGGCTTTCCGTTGAATGGATCTTTGTTAGAATATTCCGATCTCTCAAAATAAAGGGACTATCATTATTATCCATTCACCATCACATTCACAAGTCCTTCTGATCAGTAGCTAGCTTATTTGTGTAGGCTGTCATTACTTTGAGGATGTTGTGAATAATTGTGTCAAATAGTTTAGCTTGAGTACAAAGGTGTAGTTTAGGAAAGAATTTTCTTGGTTTAGATTGGCTGTCCTGTGAATATCCCTTTAACTACGTGTGTATGCTCACTATTTTAAATTTCGTGTGGTGATTATCGTAAGTCTCGTTGTTCGATTTGCTTGAGGACAAGCAAAAGCTTAAGTGTGGGGGAGTCTGATAAGTCCGTATTTAGACACGCATTTGATGCGTGTCTGGGTCGGATTTTGATGGTTTTCCTGGCTTTAAGGCGTTGCAAGTCTCAATTTTTGCTCAAGTTGTGTTTAGCAGGCGTTGGATCGAGTTTCATTGCATTTGGAGTTGATTTGAAGAAGTTAGAGACCGACATCGTGCTTAGAGAAGCAATCGGGAAGAGTTGGAGAACATTCGAGAGAGATTTGAGAGTTTTGGAGGCCACCGGAAGGTTCACGGCGAAGATTTGATGAAGAAACGGCCTTTGGATTGATTAAAGAAGTATCCGGGAGCAAACGAGAAAGAAAATAGCAAGAAAACGGTTCTAGAGCAATCCGCGCGCCCCGCGGTGCGGTTCCGCACGCCCCGCGGGTGATTCTGAGAGCAAGAATTTAAGAAGTCTGAACCGCACTATGTGCGGCCGAAACCGCACACCGCGCGGTCAAAACCGCACACCGCGCGGCCGAAACCGCACACCGCGCGGTCCAGAAATAGTCCCCAGAAGTACCCGCGCGGTTGCATAGTGCGGCGCCCGCACACCGCGCGGGCGGAGCGAAAGTCGGAAGACGGAAAAAAACGCGCGCGTGACCGCGCGGTGACCCGCACTACGTGCGGACGACCGCGCAGCCTGATTTTCGGCCCGTTTTCGGATTTTTCTATAAATAAGCCCCTGTTTTGCCTGTTTTTGGGGGATGAGCTTAGAGAGATAAACCCTATTTCGATTTTTTAAAGCTTTTCAAGCCTTGTTCTTCAAGATTAAGGGATTCTTTGTAAGTTCTATCTTTTTAATTAATGACAATTATTTCTATTCATCCCAATTCTGTTGATTCTTCAATTATGAATTGTGAGTAGTTTAATTAGGGATTTGGGATTGATGAAGGGGTTAATCATGATTGATGGCTAGATTCTTGTCGGTTTAATTGCATGAATGCCGTTTAATTTGTGTTTGAATAATTTAACTGATATCTTTTGTAACCTGGAACCGCGGCTAGAATTACAATTGCATGTAGAATGAATTAAGAGAGATCTAATTTATTCTAGGACACCTTCACACACACTTAATCGTTCGCTAAGAGATTAGTAGCGATTAAGGAGCCGTAAGCTCGCTCGTCTTGGCAATAATTTAGGATCCTGTCGCATGAGAGATCAGCCTGGTCCCCTAAATTATTGTACTCTACGCCGCGAGAGCGGTAAGAACTTAGTAATGATTAGCTAGGCTCAATTAAATTAAATTCATGTGATTAGGCCTGTTCTGCCAGAAATCTGATTACCCCGGAATCAATCCCTGTTCCCTTCGTCATTAATTAGAAAGAACCCCCTAGTTTAATTGTTCGTATTAGTTTTATTTTCCAAACCAACCAATCTCGCACGACGCTTTTATTTTATTTTCTTTTTAATCGCTGAATTTAATTAATTCTTGATTCCCTTTTGTCCGTCCCTGTGGAGACGATACTCGTACTTTCAACCACTTTACTACATCATTTTTAAGTGCGAGAAAACACTCATCATGTTGCAATTTTATAAATTGGGGGTAACATTATTTATTTCGCAATAGAAGTTTAGAATATTAATTGTGTCTTCATGATTTCTAAAATAGTTTAAATGATGCAGTTAACACCATAATTTACATTTTTGAGAAAAAAAATAATATTTGCCTATGATGCTAAAATATCTTTTTATATAAAGTTTGGGGTATTTAAATTACATATGCAAGTTTGGGGTGTTCATCTCACACTCTTTCAAAGTTTGGGTATTTTAATTATTTTTTCCTTATTATTAACTATTATTATTATTATTATTACTATCATTATTATTATGATTTTGAAATGAAAATATTTCAATTACTCCAATATTCATGTAATTCTTATTTTTAATGGGTATGAAACATTAAATGTCTAATTGAAGGGAAAAAAATGTGCTACACCTTGTTACTTTATATTATTATAGATAGATTATAGATAGGTTATGCTAGATACGAAAAAGTGCATTACGCGAGCCCATTGTGCCTCACATTGGGGGTAAATGTGGTGTTCGCACATTTATTTGTTCTCATTTGATCCTAAACCTATATATATCTACGCACACACAGTCATATATGATACACACACACACAACACTGAAGTATTGTGTTAAAAGTTAATACAGTCAATTTTAATAATTCTTCAATTTGAATAAGTTTTGTAAATTGAAGACAATTAAAGTAAAAATATAAGTAAACATATTATCACCATGTACGATGTTTCAAAATTCTCAACAATTACAATACAATTAATTACATATTATTATTACATATAAATGTGAGTGTATTTATTTACTCACTTTACCACTCTTAAAACTCATACTATTCTCCGTATCGCATTAGTTACAACATTACAAATTACACACTATTCATGTACTCTACTTTGACTACATTTTATTTATTAATGTATGTGAATAATTTTTTTTTGAAAAATTTTGATGAAATCGTCTCATTAAAAAGTTTCATAATCTGTTTTTTAATTATTTTTTACTAATATATAATTAAATATAATAACGATCAAAGTTGTGTGTTGTCAAATAAAAAAAGAACGGAGGAAGTATAACATTTATGATAAATACTTTTAATCATTACTAACTTACTACTCCGTATTATTCTAGTATAATGTGTATTAATTCATTAACCATGATTAAACTGTATTCAATTATTTATGTCTATATGTATATGAGTTTGTATTACATATAATTTAATTTAATATGTGTGTACAATATTTATATAATAAGTGAATATACTCCGTATATGTTTGAGTATTATTTATAACGGGGATTGAGCAAGGACGGGACGGGTGTAGCAATACTCGTCCCCTGCCCCATATTTTAACAGCGTAAAAATATCTCACCCATCCCCGTCCCCACCCATAAGCGGATTTAGGGGCAATTGGCCAAGGCAAATGCCTTGGACCTCACATGCCAACGGGGCCTCCGCAGAAAATACTAAGTATTAGTATTAGGAATTATATCTGGCTAAACTGAAACCTGCAAATTGGAAAGGAGCAAGCCAGCAACGGGCTTCTCAGTGAGGCAGCCTCTCCCTCGAAGTAGGGTTCGGTTTTTGTCCGCCGATTTTCGTGCGGTGAAGGGAGCGATCAGAAGCAAGCTAATAGCGATGGCGACGAGTTCGCATGGGGGGATGCAGGGGCGCGGCGGAGTCTTCTCTCAGACGGAGGGCGTTTCCCAGGATGACGAAGGGGACCCCTTGATGGCAGCCGACGATGGGAGTGTGGAGTCTTTGATCGGCCAGTACGGAGGCATGGGGTTGGGGCAGTCGGAGGAACTGATGTTGGATGATGAGGAGAAAGACCCCGAGGCAGCGACCAAAGCGGTTGAAAGCTTCCCTGTGGTTGGTACAATCCTCACGAATAAAGTGGTAAAATTTCAATTCTTTCGCGATTTGATGGCATCTCTGTGGCGCCCGGGTAAGGGTGTTCTGATTCAAGAGATTGGGGTGAGGAGGTATCTGTTTACTTTTTACCACTTAATTGATAGGAATAATGTGTTGAATGATGGCCCTTGGTTGTTTGACCAGAACCTGTTAGTTCTAAAAGCTATTGAGCATGGCGATATGCCCTTGAAGGTTCCTCTTGATACTATTGATTTCCGGATACAGGTGCATAACATCCCTTATGGATATTCTAATTTGGGAAATGCTCGTAAAATTGGAAACTACTTGGGTAAATTCATTTCTTGGGATGATAAGCAGTTTGATGAGAAGTGGGAGACCTATATGAGAGTTAGGGTCAAGCTAGATGTGAGGAATCCCTTAAAGGTGGGCATAAATCTGAAAAAGGGTAAAGGGGAAGGGAAGTGGGTTGACTTCAAATAAGAGAAACTTCCTAGTTTTTGCTTTGCATGCGGAGTTATAGGACATGCCAAAAAATTTTGTTCTTTATTGTATGAGAAAGTGAGAAAGCGGTGGTGAGATCTTTTGGACCTTGGCTACGAGCAGGAGGAGGGCGACCCCGCCCTTCTATGGGAAGTAAATGGCTAGTTAACGAAGGAGGGGGAGGAAGAGGCATTGTGGGGCTGCAAAAGAGTCCCAATGATAAGCAGGAACAGGGCCAAAAGTCTATGCAGAACAGGTTTCAGGAAAAGGGGGAAGGGTCAAAGTCTGAGGAAGCAAAGGCCAACAACAGTGGAACGGGAGAACAGAAGAGAAGGAGGACCTGAGATGCACACGAGCAGGAGCAACCACGAGAGGACGCCATGGCTCTAGACGATACAAAAAACCGGGAAGAGGCGGGTTGGGATTCTCAGACCCGCCTAAACCTGTGAAAATCTGGTTCAAGGGCAGACGGTAGGCAATGGACTCTTTGTCGGTTTGTATCCTGCTTACGTTCTCTCTTATTAATATAAGTCACCTTCTTCCAAAAAAAGCAACGGGCTTCTCAGTTTTAATCAACCGACAACCGCAGAGTTGCAAACCGCTTTGGCAAGTCTAAGAAGTAAGACCCGATTTACCTTTATTCTTTGCTTTTTTGCTTGCTTTAATTTGTGGCTGTATTCTTCTTCCTGATTTTGGAGTTCATCTGTTCTGGAATCCAACCTAAGCAAACAAAGTTATAGTGCAGCCGCCTAAGGAATACAGAGTAGTTATTACTTAGCAAGATTTTTTGCAATTAGCCGTGAATTGAGATTTGGGAATTTGAGGTTTGGGAATTTTTCAATTCGGCACTTCTCTACACTATTGCTATTTGCTAGGGCTAAGAAATAATAATAGACTCCCCCATTAATCATTGTATGCACTTTTAAAATTATTAACTTATTAATATTGGGTAATTGTTTATTTGTTATAATGTTATTATTATTATTAGTACTTTTTGTTTTGCACTAATAGTTTACAATGGTAATTGAATTAGTTATTTAGTTATTTTGTCACTAATATTTTATAATTGTAGATTTTAATTGACTAATTTTTAATTTTTTTGTTGTTGATCGGTTTCTATTAATTTCTACCTCCGTGGCTCCGGCCGGATTTGAACTGGGGAAAAAAGGATTTGCAGTCCCTCACCTTACCACTCGTCCATAAGGAGATAACACAGTTTTTAAGAAAGGTGAGTTTCTGTATTTGATATTGAATTGATAAAGTAATTTAGGACCACATAAATTTCACCAAATTAAATATGAGACAATCTTTGATAGGTAAAGGCAAGTTTGAAATTCAAAAAGAAAGGAGAAAACAGTATTAAAATTTATACTTTTTGTGCATTTGTTTTGTGTTACATTTTAAAAACTTATTTTGAATATTATTATGTATGTGTTACATTTTAAATACGGCTTAATTTCTAGTATTTTGTGTTTGTATTCATTTTATTTTATTTTTTTTTAAGACAATGCTTGTAAATTGTAATATGGTATGTGTTGGTCCAAAATAGGACGCTCGTAGGCTTTTAGGAAAGCTACGTAAGAACACTCAAGCAGAAATCAGGAAAGCAATGCAAATATGGAAAGTAGCTAGAGAGTTTGGTAGCCAGAAATAGCATGTCTGTATTCGAAATATAACTTGCCTTTTATAGGCGCTTACAAATGGTAACTGCCGAATAATAATGACTAAATTAATTACAATATTAATACGAAATTAAATACATGATTAATGGTGCATTGATTACTGGCCGTTACGCTTCTTGGTTGGCTGGCTGGCGGGTCGGCCTGGCTGGCGGTCCGGACGCTTGAGCTTCTCGGGCGGCAGGCTTCCGTCGGGCTGGAAGGCAGGCTCCTAGCTAGGCCGCAAGGCAGGCTTCCAGACGGCCGGCAGGCAGGCCGTCTTGGGTTTCCACTCCGCTGGACCTCCACTCCCTAATGGGCCCGGTTGGTTGGGTCGACTTGATATCTGGATCGCTGGGTCCACTAGCTGGGCTTGCCTGGCGAGACGACAGTCCTGGGCTTGGGCCTGCTTATCCAAGTTTGGGGCAAAGTCTGATTAGGCGTTGGGCCTAGTCCTATAATCCCATCACGAGTCCCCCACTCCCTTAGTCGAGTAGTAGACTCGGCTAAGAGGGAGTAGTCCAAGTCAGCTGCCAATTTAAAAATGTTCACATACTAGGGAGTAATAATTGTGGATTCTGTAAATCCCACAACTTATGGAAATTTTCCAATTTTAAATAAAGCTCTCAGCTTTAATAGGCTTCAAATTAATTCATTCAACATCCTAGCATTCTAGCAGTCAGCTCTCTTCCAGACTCCAGAATCCAGGTCAGCTTTCGAATATTCCCCAAAATAATTATTTTCGGACCCCTAAAAATTTTTTCCTTTTCCTTTTCCTCTCCTTTCCTTTTCTTTTCTTTTCTTTTCTTTTCTTTTCTTTTCTTTCCTTTTCTTCTCTTTCCTTTTCTTTTCTTTCCTTTCTTTCTCTCTCCTGGTTCCCTGCGTGCGTCTTCCTCGCGTCGCCCGCATCACCCAGCGCCGCAGTCAACTTGCCGGGCGGGTTGACCGCCGTATTCCCTCCGGCGGTTTCACTGGGTTGTCTCCTCCGTGCAAGGCGGCCGTCCCGCGCCGCCCACCGGTGACCGACGTCGCCCTGGCAGTCCGGCAAATCCGGCCGGCCGGTCTGGTCGAGCGGGCTGACCGCCGCTTTCCCTCCGGCAGCTCCACTGGGTCGGCCCCGCCTTGCTAGGCGGCTATTCCGCGCCGCCCACATGTGACCGACGCCGCCCCTGCAGTCCGGCAAATCTGGCCGGCCGGTCTGGTCTCCTACCGCGTCCGGCTGGTGCGTCTCGCCTGGGCCGGCGGCCACCCCTTGCTGGTCAGCGTCTGCCAGAGGTTGGCGTCCTGGATGGGCGCCCCTCTTGTCCATCTCCGGCGTTATGGCTTTCGCACAGCGCCGCCGTCAGCCCCCCAAGGTTGACCGACGCACGCGGCTCACCCCTCTGCCTTGCCGGGCTCTCCCACCAGCCGGCGGCTCTGCCGCAGTGTTTGACGGTGACAGACCCAAGTCGGTCGGGTCCCCACGTAGGTCCACGAGCCGCCCTGCACCTTGGTTCTGAAAATGACGGGCCGGGGTGAAGTCTCTATTACCCGGGGCTCCGCGTTGTCCGGCGGTTGTCTTATTGCTGACCGGCTTCACCCCTCATCCAGGTGGTCATGCGGGTGTGAGCCCCCCTATTGGCGCACTCCAAGTTGACGGGCAGGCTTAACGCCTCGTATATGCTAACTCACTCTTTTTTTTTTTTTTTTTTTATGTGCAGGTGGGCCCCATCCCGTTTGACCATGCAACACGGAGGGTGCTCTTCTCATCAAAACAATGGTCAAGGCTCTCACACAGCAATGCAAGTTGGAGTTCAGCCCCTCTCCAAGCCATCAGACTCGGGACTGTCGGCCATCACTGAAGGCAAGCATGGAGCGGCCATGAAACCCATTCGGGCCAGCCGTGGCCCCAGACCACGTATGCATGTGGGGAAAGTTACCGGACAGCAGGCTGAGATTCTCCCAGAGGTAGCCCCAACTAAGCGGGTCACCGTTTTCGAGGGCCGACCCCTCAATGTTCCGGACAGAGCGCGCACCCAACCCGTGGACGTGTCAGATTCTGATGATGACTCTGGCGCTTGGGAGGACCCGAATTCTTGGTGGGACCTCGACAATAGCGGGATAGTGAACCTCCCCCCTTGCGTCCAAGACGAGGACCTTGCCGTGGCACGTAGTCTGATCGGTGCCGAGTGTTCATCGAAAATCCCGGAGGCTACTGAAGTACTGAGTGATCCCCCGGTCCCTTATTTTGGGGTCCATATCCGCTCTCTGGAGTTAGGGATGGTTGTGCCTCTGCATCCTTTTCTGGTTCGATTTCTTCACTTCCTGGGTGTGGCACCGGGCCAACTGGCTCCGGCGGCTCACATGTTCGTGGCAGCTTTCGTGGCGCGGTGCGAGGACGTGGGCATCACTCCCACAATCGATTTGTTTTTTAGCTGCTTCCAGTGGCGCGCCTCCAGCTTTTTTGCCTCAGTCTCCCAGAGGCCGGTGAGCAAGCTATTCCGGTCGGGTTACCCTGACTCAGGTAGCCGATGGAAGAAGAGGTGGATCTGGGTGTCTGACCCTACCCTTCCATCACCTCCTTTCCAGTGGGGTGAGCGGCTCCGGAAGTGTGATCGGGTCGCCCTTTCCCCTGACCTCAAGTCATCCATCGAGGTGTTGTCCGCAGGCGGCCCCCGCTCCATCAGCTCATACTTAGGTGATCGTCACTTCCCCAGTTTAGGTTTGGCTATTTCGTATTTTACCTTACTCATCCTCACATTTTTCTTCCGCAGATGTGCCCGATAGGCCTGAGAAACATATCGTCGGTGCCGAATCCGATGATGATGACGAAGAAGCCCAGCCATTCATCGCTCGTGTAGCTCCCACGGCCACCAAGGAAAAAGAGCATGGAGCTCCCCCAAACCGTGTAGCACAGATTCCGAGGAGGGTGAGGGTTACCTTTGGGCCTCAGCCTGTCGCACCAGCGAAGAAGAAGCAGAAGAGGGATATTGTCGACTTACTGGTCGAATTGGATGAGTCTGATGACGAGGAGGTGGGGCCTCATGTAGCCGCCGCTCCTGTGCTCCCCCAGGTCGCTGCGGGGAAAGGGCACGGAGCCCCCCCGTGCCGAGAGGGGCATGTTTTGGAGGGGGCGACTGTCACCCCGGAATTCCAATCCACCGGGCAGGTGCATGAAGATGCTGGTGAGAGGATGGCTGAGCGGGTTAGCTGCGACACTCAGCACACAGTTGCTTACACATTCCCATCTCCGAGTGCCTCGATCCTGCACGAGGGCTTCCCGGTTGTGGACTATGCTTCAGCGATCTTGCCGCCGGGTGACCTCGCACGTATGACCTCCCAGGGGTTTCAACCCCTCTTGGAGGGTTCCATTCGGACCCATGTTGATGTGAGTGGCCGATCACATCTCCGGCATACTTTGTTTTACCCCTCGATTCCATCATATTTTGTTTGTTTTGTTTTGCAGGGACTTGCTAAGACCGTTGGGGCACTTTGGGCAGCCAACCATTCTCAAGCAATGCTCCAGCGTGAGGTTGATGAAATTAGAGCCGCCCTACAGGCTAGGGAGAAAGCCTTCTCCGAGTTACAACTTTTGCATGCAAGAGAGCGTGAAGAAGTGGCCAAGAAGGCGATTCTCGAGTTCAAGGCCTCCGACGAATTCCAGAAAACCATATCTGACAGAGTGGAAGCGAAGGAATCTGACTTAGTAAATAAGTGGCTGAAGACTGACGAGGGGGAGTACTGGCACGCTCGTGAAGTTCTGTACGCCTTTCAGAGTGGCAAGTACCTGACACAGCAGAAATTGTATGATCAGTTGGAGGGTCTCGGCCCTGACTTCTATCCATCCGTGCTAGGTCTTCCTGCCCGCATGAAGAAACCTGAGGCTGCAATAGCCCTCTTGCCCCCAGGAGTCTACCGCCAGGAGGAGGAGTCCGGTAACTCGAACGAATGGTGCTGGTTCTTTCCAAGACCTTCGGAGGACATGGTCCCCCTTGCATCCGGTCAGCAGGAGGGAGCTCAAGAGTCCGGCCAAGACTTGGTTGCCATGTTAGATGAGATTCCCGGGGCCAATGGTGATGGGCATGTCCTGCCATGACTTTGTATTTTGCATTTTCCTTGTCTTCCACTTGTACACGTGTTTTGACTGAATGTTTAATTAATTCACACATTTCTTTTCATATACTTTGCGTTGCGAATACTTAAGCAATTTAATCGGGGATCCGGCTTCTCTAACTTCCCAGGGGGCGATTAGGCTGGCGTGGCCAAGCCTATCCACGCCCCTCCTGGTCAGATAGAAGTGATCTGTTCGCTGTTGATATGGAATCAACAAGTATGCGACTTGTTCGGCCAGCAAGGTCGGACATTGAACTTACAAGGAGGACACTTAGGTCGGCACCCCGACGTTCGTGACCCTGGGGGTCAGTCCTACTATCGCCTTGACCCGTCCAGTTCGCCCGGACTTGGGGAGTAATCTGGTTACTCCCGCGGGTTTAGCCAAACAACAGGGGCGGACCCTGCATGATCCACCAGAACGGACCCGCACTGCCAACTCGGAGATGGCGAGAGTGCGAGCTGCTTGGCCAGCGATGTCGGGTTGCGAGCGCTCAAAAGGGGGGACCCAGAGGTCGGCACCTTGGGCGCTCCCGACCCGGGGATCGGCCCTACTATCGCCTCAACCGTCGCGGTTAGCTCTTTACTTTAGAAAATTGCTTGGATTCTTGAAAATCGATGGGCCATTTTCAGTTCAAGAGCCTGACCGAGGTCGGCCAAACACCGAGGGGGGGCATAGTATTTTTTTTTTTTTTTTTTTTTTTTTTTTTTTTTTTTTTTGCCGCTGCCCTTAATTGCTAAGTGAGGTCGGACCTCTTCTGAATGCAAAATATCGCTAGCAAAGTATATTGAATTCATAATGTGGGCGGACCACATGAAGAATTACAAATTGTAATCCTGTGCCCAGAGCACATGAGTTCATAAAGAAAAGGTGACACTTCAGTTCTCTACTGATAAAACTTCATCAGATGCTCAGCGTTCCAGACACGGTCTACCAGCCGGCCTGTTGTCGTCTTCAATTTGTATGTCCCGGGTCCGACCACAGCATCAATCACGTATGGGCCTTCCCACTTGATGGAAAGTTTGCCTCCCTCCGCCGGCTTGCTGGCCTTCCTACGCCTTAAGACGTAATCACCAACGTCAAAACTCCGGGGCTGGGCTCGGCTGTCCTGGTACGCCTTGACTTGGCGTCGATAGTTTTCTGCTTTGACGAAGGCCCGGTCCCTCCTTTCCTCAATGAGGTGGAGCTCGGCTCGGAGCCTCTCCTCATTGCTAGCTGGTTCGAACTCTTCCATTCGTCGGCTGGGGACTACGGCCTCGAACGGTGCCCTTGCCTCAAAGCCATAACACAAGGCGAAGGGGGTCTCTCCGGTTGCCTTCCTTGGGGTTGTTCTGAAGGTCCAGAGTATATTGTTCAACTCTTCCACCCAGGCAGTCCCGAGGGCCTCCAACTTCTTTTGCAACCCATCGACGATCGTCCTGTTAGTGTTCTCCACCTGTCCATTTGCCTGAGGGTAGCAAACCGCAACCCGGCTGGATTCTACGCCCCACTCTGCGCAGAACTGCCGGAAGGATTCGCAGTCAAACTGCCTTCCGTTGTCGGAGATTATTTGGAGGGGAACTCCGAACCTGCAAAAAATATTCTTCCATATGAATTTCTTACACTGGAGATGTGTGATGCTGGCGAGCGGCTCAGCCTCGACCCACTTCGTGAAGTAGTCCACTGCGACGATTACAAACTTCCGGTTTCCCGACCCGGTTGGCAAGGGACCGACCAGGTCGACGCCCCATCTCGTGAATGGGAGGGCGGTGCTGATCGGTGTGTACATCGTCGCTGGCCGGTCGGGGCTCTTCTGGAACTTCTGACATGTCTCACATCTCCTTGCATAATCGGCACAATCTCGCATTATCGTCGGCCAGAAGTAACCCTGGAGAACAACCTTCCTGGCAATAGTGCATGCCCCCTGGTGGGCGGAGCACACGCCCCCATGGAGTTCGGAGACGATCATGTCCGCTTCATGCGGGCGCAAACACTTTAGCAACGTCCCATTGTAGGACCTCTTGTATAGCTTCCCGTCCAAGACGACGTAGCCCGGAGCTCGTCGGCGGACTAACCTTGCTTCATCCTCCCTGTCAGGCAGCGTCCCATCGGCGATGTAACGCAGGAGGTCGTCCACCCAGCACCAGGCGACCGGTTGCAAGGGGAGGACGTTGACGGGCGGTGAGGCTGCTATGCTTGAAGTTGTCATCTCCTCAATGCGTGCAATTCTCGAAATGTGTTCGGGCAACCCCTGGGACAGTTTTGAGAGGAGATCAGCGTCCGAGTTTTGATTTCTCGGGACGCAAACCAACTCTGCCTGCTTGAACAGCCCGAGCAATTCCCGGACAGCATCTCGGTACTTCGTCATTCTTTCCTCCTTTGCTTCGAACTCACCTTTAACCTGTGAAACGACCAGCCGAGAGTCACATTTGACCGTTATCCATTCTGCTCCCATGGCGGCTGCTAGTCGCAGTCCGGACAATAGGGCCTCGTACTCCACCTCGTTGTTGGAGACTTTGAAAAGATAACGGTAGGCATAGTAGGCCCGAAATCCCTCAGGGGAGATGAGGACGATTCCGCCCCCACATCCCTTTGCTCCGGCCGACCCGTCTGTTGCTAAGGTCCACCACTGCTCATCGCTCTCCCGTTGTTTCTCTGTCACCTCCCGGGCCGTACACTCCACGATGAAATCGGCCAAAGCTTGGCCCTTGATGGATGTACGTGGCTGGAAGTCGACCTCATATTGACTGAGGAGCATCGACCACTTCACCACCCGCGCTGTGCCGGGCGCCCTCAGGGCTGCCCCTAGAGGCTGTTCCGACAGGATTCGGATTGGATGCGCCTGAAAGTAGTGTGTCAACTTCTTCGCGGTGATGTAAGCGGCATAGATCGTCTTTTCGAGCGGGGTGTATCGGAGCTCGGCATTCTGGAGGGTTTTGCTTACATAGTAGACGGGACGTTGAACGCCTTCCTCTTCACGAACCAGCACGGAGCTGATCGCGCCTTGAGAAACCCCAAGGTACAGGATCAGCGTCTCCCCCCTTTCCGGCTTGCTGAGTAGAGGCTCGGAGAGGAGGTATTTCTTCAAGTCTTCGAAGGCTCGCTGGCACTCATCAGTCCAGACGAAGCCATTTTGCTTCTTTAGGACCTGGAAGAAAGGTAATGATTTCTCAGCGGACTTCGACATGAAGCGCCCGAGGGCTGCTAGCCGACCGGTGAGAATCTGGACTTCTTTCACCGATTTCGGGGGCTCCATATCAAGTATCGCCCTCACTTTCTCGGGATTTGGCTCAATCCCTCTCCGTGTGACCATGTATCCTAGGAACTTGCCTCCCTGGACAGCAAAGGTACACTTCTTTGGGTTCAGGCGCAGTCGCACTGCCTTCATGATCCCGAAAATCTCTGCCAAGTCATCTGCGTGGTCGGCCGCCCGGGTGCTCTTGACGATCATATCGTCGACGTATGCTTCCATGTTCCTTCCGAGCACCTTCCGGAATACTTTGGCCACCATCCTCATGTACGTTGCCCCGGAATTCTTTAGCCCGAAGGCCATGACAAGATAGCAAAAAATTCCCTCCGGGGTAACGAACGAGGTCTTCTCCGCGTCATCTTCATGCATAAAAATCTGGTGGTACCCTCGAAAGGCGTCCATGAAGCTAAGGAGCTCACACCCGGCCGTCCCATCGACTAGTTGGTCGATGTTAGGTAACGGGAACGGATCCATAGGACACGCCTTGTTGAGGTCGGTGTAGTCGACACACATCCTCCAGGTCGGCGGCTTCGGGGCTAGGACCACGTTCGCCAACCACACTGGGTATAGGACCTCCCGAATGTGTCCGATACTCAGGAGCATGTTGACCTCCTTCTTCACGAATTCCTTCCTTTCGATGGAGAGATGTCTTCTCTTCTGCTGAACAGGTTTTGCCGACGGGTTGACTGCCAACCGGTGGACAGCGATGCTTCGGTCGAGGCCGGGCATGTCCTCCGGCCCCCATGCGAAGACAACGCTGAAGAGGATCAAGACCCGGATGATTTTTTCCCTCAAGTCGGCCGGGAGGCCGGTTCCAATCTTGACCTTCCGCTCTGGCTTCTCAGGGTCAATCTGGATTTCCTCCACGTCTGAAGTGGGTTCAGCACGGAGCTGACCCTCCTCATACTTCATGGCCTTGTTGTTGATAGTATGGACTCTCAAGTCCTTCTGGCCGATTTGTTTGCAAGCTTTTAGGTAGCAGCTCCTAGCCATCCGCTGGTCTCCCCTAGCAACTCCGACACCATTCGGAGTGGGGAACTTCATGCACAGGTGCTCCTGGGATATCACACACCTCAGGTCCTCCAGGGCCGGCCTCCCCATGATGATCTTATGCGGACAAGTTAGGCGTACGACTATGAATTCGACGTTTAACTTAGACACGCAGGGCTCGGAGCCCACCACCACAGGGAGGACTATGCTACCTTCCGACTCAATGGAGTCCCCGGTGAAGCCTGAGAGCGGGGTCCTCACCGGGATCAAGTCCTTCCTGTCCAGGCCGAGCCCCTGGAAGGTATCATAGTACATGATGTTAACGGAGCTCCCATTATCTACCAGGACTCGGTGGACGATGGTGTTGTTGATCTCGATCTTGATCATCAAGGCATCCCTGTGCGGTGGCGGCATCGACGGCAAATCTGCATCGGTGAAGAGGATGGGATCCCTCTTCACCCTCTTATCGGCAGGAGCTCTGGTTACTTCCCCAACGTACAAGGCTCGGGCCCATTGTTTCCGCTCTCCCGAGGTATCTCCTCCTTGGGGTCCCCCGAAGATGTATGAACATCGATGGTGTTTACGGGAGCCATCCCCTAGGTCGGCCTCATCATCCTCGGAAAGGGCGCCAAGCTCCCGCTTCTTGGCGGGTTGCTTCTCCTTTGATGTGGTAGCTTGGTCGGACCGCTGCCACGTCAGGCTCCTCTTCTGCGGAATATTTCCTGGTTTGCCAACAAATTGGCCCAGGTACCCTTTTTGGATGAGTTCTTCAATTTGCCGTCGGAGAATGACGCAATCATCTGTATCATGCCCTGCTCTCCGGTGGAATCGACAATATTGGTCGAGGTTGCGCTTGGCTGTCACCACATCACACTCCTCCGGAAAGTCAACTAAGCCTTGCTCCTCCACGTAGTCGAAGACGGCCTCGATCGGTTGAGCAAGTGGAGTCAATTGTTTGACGGGCAGGAGCGGTCCGCTCGGGACGTCCGCCCTGCCCTTGTCTTTGCTCTTGTTACCTTTGTACTTGTTTTTGTTGCCAGCCTTGCCGTCAGCTTTCTCGGCACCAGAACCAGCTTCCTTCTTCTTCTCCTCCTTTGCGCCTTCTTCCTCATCTCTCCTCCTCTGCACGGCATCTTCCGCCTCGGCCTGGCGATCAGCGCGGCCGAGCGCCTCCTCGTACGAGGCAGGGGGACTTCTAACGAAATCTTTGTAAAGCTCGCTAGACCGGATAGAGTTTGTGAGCATTGCTACCCCAGTCCTGTCATCAAGGC